ATGAAATAAACCAGAAATGCACCAATAACCACATGACATTCATTACAAAGGAAATAAGTTTTTCAGAGCGCACTGGAGTGTTTGCGCGCCCCTTGAAAAGGCACACTAAGCACCGAAGAACTGGTCCGTAGAAAACCCAACCGGCTCACACCGATTGCGCGTGTCGAAAAAGGGAGGGCGCTAACCACCCAATTGCTTTCGCAAATCATTTGATTGGCGGAAAGAAAAGGCTCGGAAACGCATAAAGCGAATGCGACGACGTGTGGGGACTGCCGGATTGGTGCAGAGGCTGTGGACCGTGTCTGCTCAAACTGGAGATGACTTCACTTATTCATCCGCCATGCTTGGCGGGGGTGGAGTGCTGCTGTCTCCACCGCAGCTGATACCGTCAACGTCGTCTTATGTGACTTCACCCTCCTCAGGTTGCTGTTTTTATGCGTCCTTGCCACTGTACATCTTCGTTCTCATCTCAGTCTGTTGAGCAGTGGAAATGTGGGGATATATTGGCGTTTATTGTGTTTCTCCGAATCAACGTATTCCGTTCGGCCGATCAGATTGCACCTCTCAAAAATGGGCTAGACGAACCAACTTCAGCACGAAAAAGGTTTTTTTGGTGCCAAAATGAGCATGAAATAGACCCCCTACGAGACTTATGGTTATATTATTAATTAAATTAATTAAAAAGAAGTAAATATATTTCAGCAGAATTCATTTGAAGTCTATTGTAATTAAGTTCCACTTTAGATCTCATTGTGGTTCGATTGGTGCAATCGGATTAGCTAGACGAAAGTGAGTCGCGGACACTATAAAAATTGGATGCATCTGACAGCGAATTCGGCCCATTCAACCCCTCAACCAACGACATGACACAGGTCATCTTGAACATTTTATCCCCGATCGCCGCCACCATCTTCTCTTCATCGTCCGCCTCCTCCTTCACTGGTCCTTCAATATCCCTCTTTGTCCCTTCCTGTGCTTTCATGCACTGCACGTCTCAGGCTTCAAGTGCTGGAGTAAGAGGTGGAGATACAGAATTGGGGGGGGGGGGGGTGGGTGTTCCATCCCAGCCTCTAATTCGACTCCTCTCAACCCTAAGCCAATGCCTTCTGCCAGTCCTTCAACTTCACCTCCGCGGCAGCTCACTTAGCCTCCGCCTCTTCAACCACAACCAACACTGCTGTGGTGGGGGCCAGACAATAACGACTCCGGCGGCGGCGGTGACGACAACTTGTTCTCCATGTCCGCTGTAACCACCACCGGAGAGATGAGGCTATGGCTGAAGCCCACTGCCTACGTTTTCTTCCCCCTAACAGCGCATTTGTGGGTCAGGTGATGGAGATTATGCAAGTATGAGCTAGACGTCTCATACTCCAATCACGCCTTGTTGCTCACGCGTGGATGCCGCTTGACAACATCACGCCATTGGGTGTCCATATGGACGTATAGCTATGAGAGCTTGTTGGCAGTGAACTTGAGGTAAATGCTGTCGTATGTTCCCACGTCGCGGGTGTACAGATAATGCATAAGGTCGCGAAACTTGCCTAGTCTTTGACCCACCTTAACACGCTGGATAATGTCAGTTCGCTGGCGCCTCAAGTTTGAGGCATCTGCATTAGCGTCTGCGTCTGGTGCAATCGGTGGGGCGGTGGCAGAGGACATTTTTTTTCAAATGGCAGGCTTTATGATATTTACCATCAGCCCTTAAACTTTGACTTCATATACATGTAGCAGTTAATTAATAGCAGTTCATTAGCTGTCTTCTTGCTTCCCAGTATCTCTGGCTTTCCGTCGTTGTCTTTAGGACTGAACACCGAATTAGGTGGGTCACATAAGGAGCATGTTCTCGTAGGTTACACAGAGGGCATGTGGGTTGAGTGTATACTCTCTTAGATTAAGAATCAGATGGGTCTTCTCCATTTCCTCCTGTAGGTTTCACATCAGGTGGGTCTTCTCCATTTCCTCCTGTAGGTTACAGATCAGATGGGTCTTCTCCATTTCCTCATGTAGGTTACATATGGTGGGTCTTCTCCGTTTCCTCCTGTAGGTCACATAGACAGGTGGGACTTCTCCATTTCCTCCTGTAGGTTACATAGAGTATGT